TTTAGCCAGTTCTAAAAGCCCTCCCCAGCCTCTCTGGGTAACCTGTTCTAGTGTTTTACTATCCTTCTAGTGAGAACATTCTTCCTAATATCTAACCTAAACTTTCCTTGCTGCAACTTGAGATTGTTGCTACTTGTTCAGTCATCTGCCACCTCTGAGAACAATCTAGCTCCATCTTCTTTCGAACCCCCTTTCAGGTCGTTGAAGGTTGCTATTAAATCCCCTCTCAGTCTCCTCTTCTCTAGACTAAATAAGCCCAGCTCCCTCAGCCTGTCCTCATAAGTCATGTGCCCCAGCCCCCTCACCATTTTCATTGCCTTTCACTGGACTTTCTGCAATTTGTTCACATCCTTTCTGTAGTGGAGGGCCCAAAACTGAACACAGTACTCCAGATGTGGCCACACCAGTATTGAATAGAGGGGAATAATTATTTCTTTTGGCCTGCTGGCAACACACTTACCAATCCAGCCCAATATGCCTTTAGACTTCTTGTCAACAAGGGAACACTGCTGGCTCATATTCAGATTAATTATCCAATGCAACCCCTGGGTCCTTTTGTGCAGAGCTGCTGTCCTGCCAGTCAGCCCCCAGCCTGTACTGGTACACGGGATTGTTCCATCCTAAGTGCAGGACTTTACACTTGAATTTGTTGCACCTCATGAGATTTGTTTTGGCCGAATCCTCCGATTTGTCTAGATCACTCTGAATCCTCCCCTCCCCTCCAGTATATCTACTGCTCCCTCCAGCTTGGTGTCATCTGCAAACTTGATACGGGTGTGCTATATGCCATCTTCCAGGTCATTGATGACATAGAACAAACCGGCCCCAGGACTGACTCCTGGGGCACTCCACTTGATACCGGTTGCCAACTAGATATCGAGCCATTGATTACTACCCTCTGAGCCTGATGCTCCAGCCAGTTTTCTCTCTATCTTACAGTCCATTCACCCAGCCTGTACTTCCTTAATTTGCCTGTGCGAATGTTGTGGGAGACTGTATCAAGAGCCTTGCTGAAATCAAGGTACACCACATCCGCTTGTCTCCTTAGAGCCAGTCATCTCATCATAGAAGGCAATCAGGTCTGTCAGGCATGACTTGCCCTTGGTGATCCATGCTAACAGTTTCCTAATCACCTACTTCTTCATGTTCTTAGAAGTGGATTCCTTGAGGATCTTGTTCCATGATATTTTCAAGGACTGAGGTGAGGCTGAGCAGTCTGTAGTTCCCTGGATCCTCCTTTTTCCCTTTCTTAAATATGGGCCCTATGTTTGTCCTTTTCCAGTCATCCAGGACCTCTCCTGGTCGCCATGAGTTTTCAAAGATGTTGGCCACTGGCTCTGCAGTCAAATCAGTCAACTCCCTCAGCACCCTCGGGTGCATCCCATCCAACCCCATGGACTTGTATATGTCCAGCTTTTCTAAATAGTCCGTAACTTGTTATTTTGCCAATGTTGGCTGCTTACCTCCTCCCCAAACTGTGCTGCTAGGTGGAGTAGTCTGGAAACTGACCTTGCAAAAAGGATTATAATACTTCATCCTTTTCTAAAATTTGTCACTAGGTTGTCTCCCCCATTCAGTAAGGGACTCACACTTTCCCTGATCTTCCTCTTGTTACTGACATACTTGTAGAATCCCTTCTTGTAACCCTTCACATCCCTTGCTAGCTTGTAACTCCAATTGCACTTTGGCCTTCTTGACTTCATCCCTGCATGCCCAAGCA